TGTGTCTTAATGGGTAAAAAAGGGTAATCAAATTCAACAAGCTTTATCCAAAATAGGTAAAAATTAGCAAAATATTTGCATCAATTTTTTGTTTAACCGGAATCGATTAACTAAAAGTTAATGTAAAGCTGAGCCATTATAATTAAAAAATAATTATAATACGCAAAAGCATCATTTGCACGTCTTTAGACATTTACGGGATGTGTTTAATTTCTTAAGAAAACGTGAAGACGTGTGAGGAATGAGATAAGAAGTCCTTTTTTTTATCTTTTGAATAAAATATCAACACAATTCTTGTAACGGCTATTTTATTTCAAATTTTTGATGAATTAATTTGGGTTTCTCCTTTTAAACGTTGTTTCGATATAAAACTTTTTTGGTTTGTTTTCTAGTAAAAGGTCTTTTTCAAAGGTTGGTGTAGTCAGTAGTCTGGATCTGGAACGCGTTGGGAATAGACTTGTCATAACAGAATATTTAATTAATTAATTAAGACTCTAATTTGAATGCGACGTTGATTTTAATGTGATTTTTTTTTGTTTTTTTAATCATCTACGGTTACGAAGCCTTACAAATTTTGAAAACAATTATACAGACGATTATACAACAAATAAATTTTACCTTGACATGCGGTACTATTCGGGACGACTTATCTTGCACCATAATAAAAATCTCCTGTAAATTTTGCCTCCATTATAATTTGCCTTTCAAATGTTAGATCACTTCTATCAAGAGATTCTTATCGAAGGTTATTAATAATTTAGATTTTAAATATTAGAGGAGTTTTTAAAGAGGAGAGAGGGTAATTAGAATTGTGTAAAATTGTAGCTTGGGTCGAAACCAAATCCTCTCGTTTTAGAATCATAGCCGATAAGCAAAAATCTCTAAAGGCTCATCGTCTCCGGTGTCGGCGGCTTACACAGCGTCGGCGTCGACACTCGTGTTATATATTGTGTTCTCTTTTCGTCAGTTTGTGTTTCACATATCTATCATAGGGTCCAAAGGAATGGATTCAACTACGGTATGGGTTGATTTGCAATGGTGAAGAGTGGGGTTTCGATTTATCAGAAATTTGGAAGGCGGTCGCGGTTCCTCCGGCTAGTCGAGGCTGCGCTTGTGCCTGGTATTGTCGGCCTCGAGTTGCTTCTTCTGGTTGCAGTGTCAAGCGGCTCTCGTCGGAGATAATAACCCTCTCGCCGGGCGGTTAGGTCATACATAGAACTCCGGCAGTGGGTTTGAAATCTTCGTTAATATCATATCTGAGATTTGGCCGGTGGAGTTGGTGGGCTTGTAATGGGCTTGAGCTTTTGGGTATAGGCTTGCGTTGTGGGCCGTGTTCTAGGCTTGTGATAGGGCTTCAGTTCTTGCTCGGGGTCTGGGACTACTAACTACTTTGTCGGGTTTGTTTCAGTTTCTCCTTGATCTGCCTTTGTAACCTATTTGTTTCGTGAGTTTAGAACTTGTATCGGTGGCTTCTTTGGGCTTTGGGTTCTTTAGCCATATCGATGGTCATAAATCGTATGGCTTTTTCGTTGTAATTTTCAATGTGGTGTTGGCGTTTAGTCTTGGGAGCAGGTATTCCCCATTCAACGGATAAGTTTTCTTGCTCTCTGTCTTTCCGAATAGTTTTTTTTCTTGGCGATACATATCAACAGTTTTTCCTCAATGATATTGAGTTGAGTATCAACGAAGAAGGTTCAGAGTTGTTTGGATTTTTCCATTTGTTATGTCTTTTCTTCGTTTTTGGTTTTTAATGTTATACCATTCCAAGTTTTGTTCTAGTCTCAGATTTAAGTCATAGATATGTATGTGGTTGTCCTGTATGGGGATCCAGTATGATCGCTTGTATTTCAGTTTGAGGTTATCAATAATTCACCAGATGGAAAAGAAAAAAAATTATTTAAAGTTTCTCATTTAAAAATCTCTCTCACCTCTTTTGAGAACCCCTTCTCAAATTTTAATTATATTTTTTATATATTAATTGGAGAGTATTTTTTTTAAAATACCTTATGTGTCATCACCAAATTCATTCTCACAATTTTAATGTGACATGACATTGTCAAAAATATGACATAGCATTGACACCAAAATCTTCAAAACAAAATTGGGCCAAACAATTAGCCCAATTTCACAAAAATTTGGCCCAATATATATATTCACAAAAATTAATGAGGTAATTGGTATATTACGTTATACATATTAAAAGATAAAAATATATTTGAACAATTATAATACTGATTTTTACGTTAGATGAGAATTAAAAGTAACTACTTCTGCTGACAAATTCTACAGAAGACTCGCATACATCTCTGTCATAATCAACAACATCTTCGTCGAAGGTGACAAGAGGAAGTCGAAACATGAGCTCAATTGAAGATCAAAACGCTGTAACAAAGAAGATAAAGCTGGAAAACAATGACCCAACAACCTAAAAAGAATGATTGTGTTCCCAGTTGTTTTCTTTCGTTTGGTTCTTTTACTTTTAATTTCCAAAGTTGATTCTGGATTTTGCTGTTTCTTTCTTTCCCATTTTATTATTTTAATCTTCAATTTATTTAGAACAAAAATTTGGCCCAATATATATTCACAAAATCTGTCCAACTCGACATGAAATCTCGGATTTGACAATCAATTTAACATATTTTGATCATTATTTTTTTAATTATCTACATAGATATATAATCCCGAATTTTCTGTTTTTAAAACTTGCAAAAATCAATATTAATTAGGTATTGACTCTTAAAAAAATCGGCCAAAATCAATTACTATCCCAATTTCACAAGCACAACTAAACCTAATTAAGTAAATAATTTATTTGTATTCTAAATTCTACTTAAGGTATTTGGACAACCCAAATTTAACATGCTTTTTTAATTCTAATGTATTAAATTGTTATACTTTTAATTTTGACACGTGTACATATATAAAATAATTTTTCAAGTTTATAAAAACAAATATAATTATTCTTTTGAGACATATTCGGACAAGCATAATTTAACGTTTTGTTTAAGTATAATGTATTAAATGATTATACATTTTGACTTGACACATTTACATATATAAATAATTAAATAGTAAAACTAATTTTTTGAAATTAATATTATTAATACAAACGATATTATTGACCAAAAAAATTAACAACAAAAGAATCAACAATAATGTCTATAATAAAAATCGAACTACATATTTTATATTTTTAAAAACTAAAATTAAAAACAAAACTACATAAATAATTTACCGTGTATACGTGGGAGAATCACCTAATTTTGTTTTATATAATTTTTTTTGAACTCTTCTAAAACCTTAGATGGAAATGCTCATACTACAGTTTTTTTTTTTTTTCCGTCGGCCATACATTAAATTTTTTTTGGTGGACCACAACAGACTAGCCCACTAGCCCATTTAAATCTCTAACTTAAAGAGGACTCCCAGATTTGATCCTGAGTTGATGAGAAGGCAGCAGAGGTGATGAGCCACTCCCAATTTTTTTAGTTTGTGTAGCGAGTACGGCTTGA